CAAAAATGGTGTGACTATTGCCAAACCTTTGGAATTTGTAGAGCAAACCTACAAACCTAAATTTTGTTACTTGGTTTCTTTTGCTCAAAAATAAGAGGCTGGATGTGCTGGTACTCAACATTAATCCCAGCACTTGGGAGGCTGAAGCAGGTGAATCTATCTCTGTGAGTTCGAGGACAGCCTGGTCTCTATTATGAATGCCAGGCCAGCTAAGGCTACATAGAGAGACACTGGCTCAAAATAAGCAAAGAAACGAATGAATAATGAGGCTGCTAAACTGATGATTTACAACCCCTCAACTTCTGTATTAAGCCTTTTGTCATAGATTCTGGTTAACAAATCAACTCACAGAAATTCTCCAGGGATGGAGCAGGTAAGATCGCTCAGCGACTAACTTTACTTCTGAAAGTGGTTCGTGAGCTTCTCTAGGGTAAGGGGGCTCTTTTTCCTTTCTTCCATGAGCTCTCCAGACCTAGCAGGCAGTCTCTGGGCACTGTGAAGTAGGGGAGGGAGCCCGCCTCCCAGAGTTACTGCACAGCCAAAACCAGCTCCAGCAGCGCACGCTGCGCTACCACTACCAGGATCTGACCGACCGCGCCCCACCTGTCAGTTCCCCGGTCAAGTATGTGGCCATTTTGGAGAACATGTCCCGGCAGAGCTCATTGATGTCAGCCTCCGCGGGTTCCTTAGCTTCTTCAGCTGTCTCCACTGCGGCATCATCTAGCCAAGGAGGAATGAGTAAGTGCCCTGCCCCGCACTCAGACCTAATCTAGCCAAAGGGGCCCCTTCCTACATCCTTCCCCACCAGTCTTCATGCGGTCAAGCTGCCTCCATTCTCCACCCGCCATAGTTTCAGGTCCCTCACCCGCCCACTAGAGACGCCATTCCCAGGCTCACAAGATAAACCATCTCAGGTGCACCGCCCGCCTGCTCCTGCCTCCCACACACTCGGGCCTGCCCTTCCAGGTGCATCCTCGGAGCCCCGTGTCCCCCAGCAGCCGCTTCATTTTCATCCGCACTGGGTACCTCGAGCAGGCTCCTCGCGTCGCGTCGCCGGGACGCCCTCCGCAGCCGCCGCCATGCCCGGACGACGTTACTTCCGGTTCTAGGGAGTCCGCGCTTGCGCGCTGCTAGTGCTCCGCCCCGCGTTCGCAGCCCTGTCACCTTTAAAGACTTTTTATCAGAGTGCAAGCGTGAAGCTAAAACTGAAGTTAAAATAGGCTGTGGTGAATCCCTTACTGAGAGTCGCGGTGTCTGAGACTGAAAATGCGTTCATCCCTGCAGCCACACCCTAGAACTGTCACTAGGCTTGTTCTTGGGCTCCTGGAACCCAGAGTGACTTGTCAGTTGAAGTCGTTGGAGACAGATAGGTGGCCTCCTCCCCAGACACTCCACATCCTGATAGGTTTTAGTCATCAAAAGATTGCTCAGGGAATCCATGCTTTTGCAGGCTGTCCACCGAGGCCTTGATTCTTGTCGGCCATCTCAACGCTTTGAATTAACACCATCTCACCGACCCATGTGCCTTAAACTGCAAACTGGCACCCACCCCTCTTTGGTTGAAACGACCTTTCCTGAAGGAAGCGCGTATCGTAATTGATACACTCAGTCATCTTAGTTGCATTTAGTTGTGTTACAAGTCTCAGGTGTATAGATACTTAATTTAATTATAATTAATATAGAATACTTAATAGGATGGGAGAACAGGTATGAGAGAGGAGATTGGATGAGAAAATGCACTGGGGAGCAAAGGAAGGTGCAGAGGGATAAAGGTCACAGGAAAGGGGAGTGGAAGTATACAGCAGGTTTCAGGATGCAGGCTCTTGGACACTCGAAATCTTGGTGTAAGGGGGTGTCTTGTCTTATCCTAGTTATCCTCCATCTACACACACACACACGCACACACACACACACACACACACACACACACGCAAACACACAAACAGCTGCCCCCATCCTCAAGCCCTCTTAACTGGAGTGTCTCCACTCTGAGGGCTGGTTCTCCCTAGGGCACTTGTCTCTATTCTGTCCTATGGACTAATCATAGTGCCTACTATTCCAAACCATCCCAGAGGTTCTTATTTCAAGATATCTGGGAAACCCTAGCTCCTTCACATTGTCAAAACTCCATTCTGTATCTTCCAGAGAGTATGCATCTACCCTAGCTCAAGCACATGAATAGCTCACAATTCTAGCTCCTTTTCTTCCCTCTGTAATCCCAGAAGTAAATACAAAGACCTGTTTTTTTTAAAGAGTTTTATTGATAGTCACCTGGGAAACCCACATTGTCCTAGGAAAGAACGGACACCACCACATATTAATCCGAAGATCAATGAATCCTGATATCATTTGCTTGCCTGATTCCCTTCAGGTTCTGTTTCTGTTTCCAGGTTTAAAGCCCCCTCAGGTTCCAGGTGTTTGGTGGAACACTAGAAGGCAGAGTCCTCCACAAGAGCCTTCATTGACTTCACCTTGGGAGGGTGGCACTCTTAATTCATCTGCTGGACTCTCACCACATGAGAGTATACTCTCCTCTGAGGCTTCCCCATCTCTCTTACAGGGAGACTCTGTGAGGGAAGAGAAGAACCTATGCATGCTAACAGCAGACCTCTAGATGCACAAAGGACAAGAATAAAATATGAAATCGTCTAGCCACTGCCTACTCTTCTGGCTTCTATCATTTTACCAAGCCTGTCTATCTGAGTGCTTCAGGAGAGTCATTAACTTCCATTCCTTTACCTGTTTGTTACTGGTGCTTTAAGTCACCACAGCAGAGCTAAATGCACAGAGAGTGAGAAGCCAGGTGGGCAATATTTTACAAAGCTATGTGGCTACACACAGAAACACCAAGGGACAAGCTTAATCATGCTGCCCAGCTACACACAGAAACATTGATTCAATAGGCCAGATACAGAGTGGGACTCCACAGCAGCCATCATGGGACATGCTACCCTAGAAGTGGGGGGCATGTGGAGAAGAGGCCTCTGGGAAGGCAGAGAGAGTGGACCCTGCTGTCTGATATTTTAGGATCCCTCTTCTACCACTTTCCTGTTCACTCTGAACTCCCAAGGAGGCCGGAGCGACAGCTAGCGCTGGCTGCAGGTCTTCCCATATAGAAGGCTCCTCCTGTTGGAAGGAAAAGGAACAGGCCATTTGAAGAGGATTTCATTTTTTCTCTGAATCTAATTACAGAGAACCCAGATTGTTATAGACTAATGTTTGTGTGCCCCAAATGTCACACTAATCCACAATGCGATAGTATTAGGAGATAAGGCCTTTGGTGGGTGATAAGGTAATGAGTATGGAGCCCTTATGATGGGGATTGGTGTCCTTTTTCCTGCCATCATATGAGAATACATCAAGAATTCATCTGCCGAAGAAACAAGAAGCAGGAAGCTCTTACCAGATACCAAATCTGCTAGCCCCTTGATCTTACACATCCCAGCCTCCCAAACTGTGAAAAATATATTTCTGTTCTTTATAAACCATCCATTCTTTGATAGTTTATTATAACAACCCAAACAGAGCAAGATACAGACTCTACTAAAAGGCCAAAGCAATCCATAGGCTGACATAACCAACTTCCAGGCTTTCCCCCCATCCCCCACCTCTACTGGTACACTGACCTCTGTGACTATATCTCCCCAGGCCTTTTTAGAAGACTCCCTGGCTGAGTGGGGAAGATGGTAGATTTCAGCTGTGGAGAACTAAGAGGACCCAGATATAGGACACTCACTAGTCCTAGGGAGGGAGCCAGTCCCAACCCCTTTCTCTCCAGTATCTTCAGCTTTGAGCCCACAGCATCAATCTGGGACACAACTCCTTCCAGAACACTCTCCAGGTGCATAACTCTCCTTGTGAGCCTGTGAAAGATTTGAGAGAGAATAAGGGAGGAGAAATATGTGTCTAGGGAGCTGGGTGCACTCAGGTAGAGACAACACAATGGTGTTAGTCTGGATGGGTACAAAGGAGGTAAGGACCAACCTTGTAGGGAGAATCACAGGGAAAGAGAACTTCTCTCTGGGCTAGAACAGGGAATTGGGAAGTTGTGGAAAGGAGCTCAAGAGAGGATATAAGAACCAGCCATCCCTCGACCTCTGGTTGCACATACGTGAAGAATTCTTCTCCAGAAACCCAGCCTCCTTCTCTGGCAGTCTCCATGCCCAATTTGCCTGGTGGGCTATGCCCAATGGACTGGCCCAGGTTCTCAGTCTCAGCATTCAGGGCCACCTGATCAGGAAGTCAGATATTAGAGTCAAGAAGATGACTCAGGGAAGTCATCAGCTTTTATTCTATCATCTCCTGTAAATGGGCTCTCAAACCTAGCCTTGGGCTCCAGTTCTTGCTATTCCTCCTCCCTCCCTCTGGTAAAAATAGGATCAGAGTGGTGATACTATGGTATCAGACCAAGCTCTGGAGAAGGAATCACTTCCCTAAATTGGCTCTCCTTAAAGCCATGAAGAATGTGTCTTTTAAATACCATGAAATTTGGAATAGGAAGGAGAATACCAGAAACGGCACTTTCCCTCTGGAATTCTGTAATCCAACCTTGAATTTCTGACCTATACTGAATAGGGATGAAGCAGGCAGAGTAGGAGCATGGTTTCAAAATTCCAAGAAGACAAGTCCTCATAGGGGATTGTTGGGGATTATCTTGGGAAACAGTCCCTTTTCCAAAGCAATGTATTGCAAAACAGTGGTTCTGAACCTTGGCTGTGTGCTGGAATCATCTTGGAATGTTTAGAGGTTCTGATTTCTGGGCCCCACCCCCAGAAATTCTGAACTGATTGGTCTAGGTTGTGTGGCCTGAGTTTGAGGATGTTTAAAGATTCCCCGGGGTATTTGATATGCAGCAGTCTGAGAATCACTATTCTAGAGAGTGTTTTCTTGCTCATTTGCCAGAGGCTTGTGTGTGTGTTTGAATGAGCTAGGGCGGGAGGACAGGGAACAATGTCCTTACACTTCTTCCTCACCAACCAGTCCTGCTGACCTTCTCCTCTTTCAGATCTTGTTGCATCTGTTCCTGTTCTTTCTCATCCAGAATGTGATTCCCATCCTGATCAAATCTGGTGAAGGCAGCCGTGAGCTCAGAGATCTCATGCTCTGCCTGACCCAGTCTGAGGAAAATGAAGTGATGAAGTAATTATAATCACTCGAATATGGACTCCCTGCCCTTTTACTAGATTCTGGCAAGTCTTGATCCCTAGGTCTTCTGGGGAAGAAGAGGATCATGTGGGAAGCCAGGATCTCCAGGGTCTAGTGATTCTACACCCAACAAGTTGCTTGAATCCATTTCTTCCTTTTCTGACTCTTGCTGACTTGATTTCGGGCCTCATGATCTCTTACACAAATCATTACATTTCTTTGCCTCTAAATAACTGCCATCATCACTACACTCCAGCTTCCCCTCTACTCCCTCTTTCTGAAATCTATCCTCCATAATACAACTAGAATAATTAACATTTATTTATTATTATTTATTTATTTTTGGTCTTTTTGAGACAGGGTCTCCTTGCATCCCCAGCTGGCCTGGAACTCACAATGTAGATCAGGTTGGCCTTGAACTCACAGAGATCCACCTGCTTCCTCAGTACTGGGATTCAAGGTGTGCGCACCATGCCCAGCATCTTCACATTATTGGAAAAAGTGCACATCTACATCTCTGCCTCCCGAGTGCTGGGATTAAAGGCGTATGCCACCACATCTGGCCCAATTAACATTTTTTAAATGCAGGTCTAATATCTTGGCATGGGTGGCAGATGTCTATAATCTTAGATACTTTGGAGACTGAGGCAAGAAGAAGGATCAAATCAGGTTCAAGATGAACCTAGGCACCATAGTGAGACCCAACTCAAAAACAAAATAAAAATGCGTATCCAAGAGTACCACTTCCCTGCTATGGAAGTTCCTTCTGAGCACCCTGTACCCTTAGATGCAGTGGTGGTGTTCAAGGCTTCTCCCAGCATGGCTCTTATCCATGGCTTCAATTCCTACTATAATTCGCCTGTCATGTGATGCCTTAACAATGCTCAATGGCCTTCCTCTGCTTGTCCATGTGGAAGCTATTCTTCCTCTATAACTCTTTTCAGTCATCATAACTTCCTGGAAGTCTTCCTTTAAACTCAAAAAGCATAACTCTCTTTTCTCCATGCCTACTCTCTTAAGTTGCTTCTGTTGTTGAATTTATTCTGTGGATTGGTTTATTTGCTTACATGCCTTTGAGCTCCTACAAGACAAAGATTTTTGTCTCATTTAGTTATGTCATCCCCTACTGAGTGCCTGGTCAAAAACTGGTCCTTACAATTTATTTGTTCATTTGTCAGGGGAATGATATAATAATAGGAGGATCATACTGTTATGTTAGTTCTAAGAGTTGTTCAACAAGGTCCAGAATATTTCTAGACTATGACCAGAGATCTTTAAAACAAGGGTACAATTCAAAGATCAGGATCAGAGACCTATGGACAAAGGTCAGGAGCCTATTAGTCAAAATCACAGGTCCATAGACCAAGGCTTATAATCAAAAAGTATGTAATTGAGAGTCAAGAACTTATAGATCAGTTTCAAAGAAGGCTGAGTCTCTGATTGCTCACTCCCTCAAGGTGTTGGTGAAATCCTCAAACTGGATCTCCTGCTCCCCACCCTGCAGGACCTTCTGCACATCTGAAACCTGTTCCTTCCTCAGGCGCAGTCTTAGGAGAGTCTTCTTGTAGCTCTGAAAGGGAAAGGAAATAGGCAGCAGTTCCTACAGGCTCTTCATCATCCCTGGTCCCCATCTTTACCCTAAGATCCCAGGCCTCCACGGGTAAGTCAAAGGCATTTGAGAGCACAGGCTCCTACACTAGTCATGAACAGACCATGGCACAGAGCTTTGGGACCAAACTCAGAGTTAGATATGCTGTTCAAAGATACCGAGTAGTAACCTTTTTCAGGAGGTCAGAAAGCTGCAACTCATCCTTCTGTCCAGCCAGCTCCTCCTTGACCTCTGAGTATGTGTCATTTATGATGGCCAGGAACATGTTCTAAAGGATAGAGTAGGAACCCAGGTTTTTACCTTCAAACCCACTAAAAGAACTGAACCCTCTGATCCCTTATCCCGGACATATTTTCTAAAGGGCCCAATGCTTTCTATCTCAGCTCTCTAGCTTACCCTGCCTCAGACCCAGCTGTTGGCACATTTCTGTTAAGGAAAAATCATACTCCTTCATCAACCTGGGGTCCTCATTCTCAGATCCTGCAGTAACCTTTCTGACCACGATAACACCCCAACATATGCCGTAGACCTTCTCCATTCAAGGGTCCACTAATGACTGAAGTCATAAAATTTTCAATGTGAAAGTACAATTGTTCTCCCTTTACCATCTACCCCTAGTCCATGATTATGTCCCTGTCAATTAATCAAATAAGGACACATTCTAACTATGTTAATAAAAATCAAGCTCAAGGGCTGGAGAGATGGCTGAGTGGTTAAGAGGATGTACTGCTCTTGTAGAGGACCCAGGTTCCATTCCTAGCACCCATGTCAGGCAGCATACATCTACCTATAACTCCAGCTCCAGGGGATCCAACACTCTCTTCTGGACTCCCTGGCACCTGCACCTACATGTGTACATACCCACACATAGACATACACATATGTATATATGTATATATATATATATAATGCAAATAAAAATAAATATTAAAAAAATCAAACTCAGGCATTTTTCAGTTGGCAAGAAGAGAAAACAACTACCAAACACTGATAGGAGAAGCTCCCAGAGCAAGGAGCCTCTTAGGGAACAGGCACAGAAACCTCCAGGGGCAGCTACTTCTCCTCATGAGACATTTTCTCCTCCCTTTCCATCTTTGGAAGATGGGAGTTGATTTTCCTGAGTTTGTAGTTTCCCTTATACTCTACAAACCACCTCAACATATTGGTGCCATTGCTATTAGCCAACTCTCAGAAGATCCAAAAGAACCCCACCCTCATGCACTTTCCATCCTTGGTGTGAGGAAACCCATCATAACCCTGAGTGGGGGACAGATTGGGTCAAGCTCCACCTTGAAGACCCTCTATGTCACCAGCCCTCTGAAGGAACCTTACCAGGAGCACGAAGAAGACGAAGAAGACATAAGTGACAAAGTAGATAGGGCCCAGGACACGGTTGGCATTGTTGATAGCATTGTAGTCAAAGTCCCCAAGGATTATCCGGAACTGAGTGAAACTGAGAGATCAGGTCTGGGCTTCACCCAGAGTGAAGCCAAACATTTGCCCCAATCTATACCCTATCCCACTTTCCTTACTACAGATAGATCCCTCACAGCACCTAATATAATAAACCCAATATAATAGAGACAACATGTATGTGAGCACACACTGGGGTTTGGGAGAGTCTTATCCAGATACTTTAAGCTTATACATGCCCATATACCCACCTCCCCCTTTTCCCCAAGGTTACACACACCCTGAGAGTTTGAGGGTGAGGGGCAAGGGGTAGGGCAGGACACACACATGCACTTGATGAAAGTGCTAAAGTTTTCCACTTGGGTCCCAAAAAGCAGGTAGCCAAGCTGGGCATAAGCGAAGAAGACAATGAAGAACATGACAGCAAAGCCCAGGATGTCCTTGGCACAGCGGGCCAGAGTGGAGGAGAGCTGGGTCATGGTTTTGTTGAAGCTGATGTACTTGAATACCTGCAAGAGTCATGGCGAACCAAGTGAAAGAGAAAAAGTGAAAAGCATGGAATACTCCAGGGACCTATGCAGCCACAGGAGGTACCAGATCCAAGAAGGAAAATGAGACCCACTGGAGGAATATGAGTGAGAGCCCTGGGGCAGAGGTGGGAGGCAGGTCCCTGGTACCTTGATCCAGGCAAAGAAGAGGTTAACAGCATTCATGTTATTGTACTGTGTCTGCCAGAAGGCCAGGAACTCAAAGTCTGCATATACATTAGGCTGCTGCAGGAGCTTTCCCATTAAACGGTTTACTTCCAGGGTTCGGAATATGTGGAAACCCACAGCCATAATGGAGAGCTGTCACACAAGAGTTGTGGGGGTATCAGAGAAGGCAAGGGAGTCTCTTTTTTGTGTGTTGCGGGGATGTGTCTCTCTGTAGGCTCAACTGGCCTGGAACTTGCTATGCAGACCAGGTTGGCCTTGATCTCATAGAGATCCACCTGCCTCTGCCTCCTGAGTGCTGGAATTAAAGTGCTATGCCATCACACTCCATCTGGAACTCTTAAGAGAAGTTCAAAAATGGGCTCCCAGAGGAGAGCTGAGGCAGATACTACAAGTGGGCAATAAACATCCTTCTCTGATGAGACATACACTAATTGAATAGAAAGGATGACTGGGGAGAAGCTTAAATGTTCTATAGTCCAGAAGGAAGCTTTAGGGCCAGTGGTGATTTGTATGTTGTAAAGGGTAATGGTGCCAAGGAACATGATTTCTCCCCATCCCCATTACTCCCAGGAGTTGGTGAAAAAAAGAATATGTGGACCAGCAAGATGGTTCAGCAGGTAAAGGCACTTGCTGTCAAACCTGGAAGCCTGAGTTTGAGCTCTGGAACCCACATGATGGAAGGAGAGAACTGACTCCCATTAGGTGTCCTCTGACCTCCACAAGTGCACTGCTGCATGTATGCACATGTGTGTAACACACACACACACACACAGGCACATAAATGTAAAAACGAAACAACCACAACACAGCTAATGTGTCCTCTCAGTAGGAAGGAGATGACAACGAAGGGACAGAATACTCAAATAGAAGAGGAGAGAAAAGGGCAGGTTCTCAAGAGGTCAGGTCAGAAAGCAAAAGAGAAGAGAAACAGAATAGCAAATGCAGGGGACCTGGAGTGGTTAAGAGCACTGACTGCTCTTGCAGAGGACACAGGTTTGATTCCCAGCACCCACATGGTGGCTAACAACCATCCATAACTCCAGTTTCAGGAGATCTGATGTCGTTTTCCAACATCCTCAGGCACAGGCAATAGACTTATACACATAAAATAAAAATAATAAAATATTTTAAAAATGAATAGCAAGTGCATAAAGAGAAAGGAAGGGCCCAACTCATAGGGGAAGAGGAGGAGGGATGTGTGGGACAAGTTTTCCCAAGCTCTGAGCCAGGGAGGCATCAATCTTTCTCTCGGGAAGATTTGGTACTGTGCTTCTACTAAGTTAAAAGGAGGGCTTAAGGATCCAGAAGGAAGAACTTAGAGCCCCTATCAAAGTAGTAGTTTTTCCACCCTCCAGTATGTCCTGAGATCCAAACATCTTTCCCTCACCGAGATGACCACCAGGTCTAGTATGTTCCAGATGCTGCTGAGGTAGTGAAGCCGATGCATGTGGAGCTCCAGGATTTCCTCCACCACATAGTAGAAGATGAAGACACAAAAGATAACCTCACAGCCAACAATGAAGAGGTCCCAGTTACTGACATAGCGGATCAGCTTAACTGTGCGTATTTGCCAGGATGGGATGGCACCTCCTGTGGCTGGGAACTCCACCACCAGTCTGTGAGGAAGGTAAGATGTTTAGTGAGGACTAGGCTGGGACAGTTCCTCCTACTCCTGTTCCCCACACCCAGCATAAAGCACATGTTAGAGAAAGAGCTCAAGCACAGAGGATGGATCAGGAACCATGGATGGAGAGATACAGTGGGGAAAGGGAGCTTACCTCAGAACACAGAACAGATTGATGTTGGCGTTGTAGACTGAGAAGTCAATGAAGACCACCCGGGTGCCCCTGTCCAGCCACAGCCCCTCCTGAAGGCCCTGGAGGGCCTCTGCACTGGCCTGTCGGGATCCTGGAAGGTCCAAGTAGTAGCCTCCTCCACTGTAGCTTGTGAGCCTGCCCCAGTGGGAGGAGCCCCCCAGCTCATCCTGTGAATGGTAGGTCCATCTGCCACAGAAAATAGCCATCTGAGTAAAGAGAGGTCAGAGCCAGGCCCAAAGCTCACCCCCTAAGGCAATTATAAATGCCCGGCTTTACAGCTCCATATATCATGTACCTATATATACTTATTGTAGCATATATGCATATGTGTGCCTATATCATATGTGATACACATGTAATATATGTGAGGAATGTATCTTATACATACTTTATGTGATACCACATGTAATACACATGCTATCACATATAATAGATACTTCAAACATTATTTTGTTTGCACTAACAATTGTTTGGGAAGACAGGGAAAGTATTATCCATATTTTGCAGAAGAGGAAATGTAGATTCAGGGATTTCCAAGATAATCTTGAAATGCAAATGTATATCTCATTTTTCACTGTGTGACTCTGGCTATGGATGGTAAAGCCAAGCCACACTTTTGGCCCCAGATGAAGTACTGTACATGAGGGAAACAGTTGGACCATAAATCCAGAAAGGATCCTTCCAGCTTCTGTGCTTCTGAAGACAGCTGCTCCACTGCAAGATTCCTTGGTCTAGTCCCTCCCCCCCATATTTCCACCCTACTCACCCCTTCTTCTATTCACCCCTTCTTTCCTGTCCTGTCAGCCCTCTTTCTTCTCTCTTCATCGCTCATCCATCCTCCACCCCTTGTTGCTCCCTGTGTCAGTCCCCAAGGGTGAAACTCTCTATGACTTGGGTAGCCTAGGTGAACTTCACTCATTCTCTACACAGAACCGGGATTCTAGGCAGAAACACTTTCTCTGTGGGATGACTGCATGCAGGGAAGGGTGTGACTGTGATCTGTGTGGGGAAACAAGCCCAGAGGCTATGACTTTTCTGTTAATTTGCTTTCTCCATTCCTGAATGACACACAAGAGTTACTGTTAGGTTTCAGGGAGATGCTCTGCCTGTAGTGTCTTCAGGCACCAACCCTTAAGGCTCTTTTAAGTCTCTGTGGAAGTGTTTCCCACACCTTAGGGTGGTATCTGTTAGGGTTCCAAATAGCAGCAGCTTCCCCCCTCCCCAACAGGGACCTACAGACTCTGCTGAGAAGCAGCCTGCCTTTCCTCTGATCTCCAAAGATAAGATAAGCAGATTCTACCTGTTAACCAGAGATTTTAGAAGCTGTTTATTACAACAGCTTTTCTCTTATCTCAAGAGGGAAAAAGTAAACACTTCCAGGCCCTAATCCTACCTGCTTTTCCTGCTTCC